TATGTTTACGGCTCCAGGCTCCCAAGGGATAAATTTCCATTAAAAAAAGAACAGATTGGGCAGACGCAATGGTTATTCTTTACTGCGCATGCGTTCTGTTAATGAAGATTGGTTACTCGCTTTGTTAGTTCTCTGAATAGAACAGAAAAAGATAAAGATATAAAAGGAAAAGAAAAAAAGACGGTTAGAATAAAGAAACAAATAATTGTGAAGAATAAAAAAACGAGAGAGAAACGGAAAAGGGAAGGGAAGGTGAAAAGAGAGATATTAAGATACTAATGTATAAAGAAAGAAAATCAACAATGCCTATAAGATTTGGAAACGTCTTGAAAACCATGATTTCTTTAATAAGGACGACCTCAGATGAAGAATTAGTTATTTGGCCCTGACTTTTCGATCATAACACATTAAAATCATTGATTGATATAGAACAAATATATTTACAGGCGATTGAGATTTGAACAAACAAGTAAAATCTTACCATGTAAACCAATAATATCCGCTGAGGTGTCATACAAAAAATTATATTCCCATAAATTATTTCCCCATTATAGGCATTATCATAACTATGATATATAGCAGCACCTTAATAAACGGGCAGAGCAGAATATCTGAAAGGAAGGAATGACAAACATGCATGGTTCTTAAGGAGATTTTTTTATGCCAATACATATGTATATACTTATTACAAATTTGTCCCACACAGAAATTATATATATCAGGTCATCCCATAAGTTCTGTCCGAATTTTAAGTTTTTGTTAAAATGAACGAAATTTAAAGAGTATTCTATAATGTCTAATGGAGTTGAACATTATTTTTATGTTTAGATGCATTTAAACTGATCAAATTTTATTTCAGAGAACAATAAAATTAAATTTTGTTTGATTAAAACCCTGCTAACATGGAAGTACCCAAGAATCATTTGAGACACATAATGCTTTATGAGTTCAAGAAAGGAAACTCAGCAGCCGAAGTGGCTAGAAACATTCACTCAGTTTATGGAGAGGAATGTGTGAATGAAAGAACTTGCAGAAGATGGTTTGCAAAATTCAGAGGTGGAGATTTCACCCTTGAAGATGAAGATCGAACCGGACGTCCAGTTGAGTTTGATGAAAAGCTTCTTGAAGCAGCCCTTGAAGAAAATCCTGCTTTATCAGTTGAGGAATTGGCAGTGGTTCTCAGTTCAAACCATACAACTGTTCATCGTCATTTTCAACAACTTGGAAAAGTTCCTAAACTTGGAAAATGGGTGCCTCATGAATTGTCTGAAAACAACCTCAAATCCCGAGTTGACATCTGCTCTTCTCTCCATTCTCGCCAACTTGTTTCACCTTTTTTGGATAGACTTGTGACTGGCGACGAAAAATGGATCTTTTATCGAAATGTTAAGCGTCGTAGACAGTGGCTTGGTAAAGGGAAGGACCCCAGCCACAGCCGAGAAGGGAACTTCATGGGCAAAAGGTTCTTCTTTCAATCTGGTGGGATCGCCAAGGAATAATCCACTTCGAATTCTTACCACCTAATGCAACAATTAATGCTCAAATATACTGTCAGCAATTAGAGCGTTTGAACCAAGCTTTGAGGAAAAAAAAGACCTGCTCTAGTGAATCGAAAAGAGGTGATGTTTCATCAGGACAATGCGCGACCCCACACAGCAAGAATCACGTCACAAAAGATCGAAGAACTTGGTTGGGAGAAAATTCCTCATCCACCTTATTCTCCTGATCTTGCTCCTTCAGACTACCGTTTGTTTCGTAGCTTACAGAATCATTTGGAAGAAACAGCTTTTTGTAAAACAGGAAGAGGTTAAAACTGACATTTGTGAGTTCTCCGAATCAAAGCCAAAAGAATTTTACAGTAATGGAATTAGTAAGCTTGTTAATAGATGGAAGAAAGTCATAGATAATCAGGGAAAATACATTGTTGATTGAATCTGTAATTAAATGTAACATTTGGTCACTTGTTTTCTTTATTCAAAATTCGGACAGAACTTATGGGATGACCTGATATATATATATATATATATATATATATATATATATATATATATAATATTTGAAAGAGACATTTTAAAGAGGGTCTTATTTTAATAATTTTCCACGGAAAAAAAACAGGTCCGTGATTGCCCTTTATGTTTTTGGTAAGACTATATGGTTTCCTCTGTATGCACTAACGCTGTGGGCTTGTGACATTCGTTTACACCGCGACATAGCAACTGGCGTGGGCCGAGACGTCTTGCCTTCAGGCGGGATAAATAGCAACTGCTTCACGCCGCTCTATGAACTGACGTCATTCACCGGTCGTCACGTGACTCTTGTGACTACGTTTCAACCTAAAGAGAGATAAGCGCCCTTTTCATCCCTACAGCATAAACCAGTAACTGTTTTTCTTTTTGAATCCCGTAAATAAACAAGGATCGTTGGTAAATTAGATATTGTTTTTGTGTAAACAACATGTTTGATTTGTTGATTGTTTTGTTTTTTATGGCTTATCAACACTTTATGGCTTATTTAAACCCGAAACATATTTTGGATTGTAAGAAGTTTTGTTTTTGTTTTTTTGAGAATGAATATTACATCAGCAATTTTTTTTCAAGATAAAAATACTACTATTTAACCCATAGCTAGGGTGATAGATTCATACTTTTCCCAAAGGTATTTGTGCGTAAGTGAACGCAACGAACTCGACAAGGATTCGAACACTGTTCTCCAATTTCTCATTTCGAGTCAATATCCAGTACACCATTGCACAATCTAGTCGTAGCGGCATTGGATGTCTCTAGGTTAAGATCACCTGACGGAGCCTATTCTTCTTAATTTATACCAATAAGCAATATCGGCCCCCGTGCTGTACTTCCTAGTGTCTATTCTATCATTCATTTACACAAGCTCATTAACAAATGCCGCTATGCCGTTAGCTTTTTAGTATTCTTAAATATAAAAACGCTCATAAATATACCCCAGGTTAAAAGAAAAGTTTAGGCGAATTATTGAGAAAGTTATGTAATCTAATGTCTAAAAAACGAAAGTGAGTAAATATTTTCATTGTTGTTTTTTTTTATAATGTAATTATTATCTATTATTATACTATATTATTTTACTTTGAGAAATTAAGTGATGTTTCATATGTTTTAAATAAAAGGTTTTGAATTTAACCGTTTTCTTTTAATTTTCAACATTTTTTAGTCATATATATTGGTTTGGGAAAGGATTATTTCATTTAGGAAAGGAGATATTTCAAAAAAGTCTGTGGTTCAGATTTATAAGGTACGGTAGCAGCTCTTTAAATAATTATTCCTCGAAGTTAGCTACTTTCTTTTTTAATAAGTACGGCATTCTTTAGATCGATGTTGTTGAATTTATTTCTATGTATGAATAATGCATTTGATTAATTGTTGTGTATAAAATATTTTTAAATACATTTTATTTTAATTAAAAATGAATTTTTTTGATAATTTTTTCCTTTTGCATTTATTATATCGTCATTTTATAGATATATCTGAATTTATGCATATATATATATATATATATATATATATATATATATATATATATATATATATATCCAAATTAAAAGAAATGAAAAAAATTTCTGGGTTCAAAACATTAATTTAAGACAGGGCTGAATACAAAAGTAAAAAATAAATATTTATTTTTTATGCACTGTTACATTAGAACATTTACATCCACTAAAAAATTGTACATCTTGTTTCAACGTCAAATAAAACGTTTCTTCAGGTGGGAAAACCATTGATGATACTTTTTCTTGGTTTCCCACCTGTGAAGGAACGTTATTTTGATGTAAAGTTTTATAGTCGGTATGTACATATTCTAATGTAACATTGAATAATAGATACATTCATATATATATATATATATATATATATATATATATTTATATATATATATTTATGAATTGATATAAAATGGATTAAAATAATAACAAAAAAATAGGATAGGGAACAAATAGGAAAATTTCTAAATTAACGTTTTTCTCGTTGATTTTCGTTTAATCAGAAAATGAAATTTTTGGTAAAAAAAAATTGATTATCCTTTCATCCTATTTGTATTTTATCAATATATATATATATATATATATATATATATATATATATATATATATATAAAAGATCAATCGATAAAGCCATTATTAGTCTAAAAATTACCAACCACGAAAAACTTTTTTTAAAACGACATAACTTCCTTTTCTTCCCATTTTATCAAAAAGTCCATCACAAATGGTATTCATCACACACACATTTGATATATATATATATATATATATATATATATATATATATATATATATATATATATATATATATATATATAAAACCATAATTTTATTTAGTGACATCGGTTTTTACTTGTTTTTTAAATGATTACTGAGATTATTTTTTTTTTTTTGTTTTTTTTTTTAACTTTTGATAAAAAATATCAAATGCATAAAAGCTAACAACATTCAAATTAGCACGTATTTTTTTTTTTTATTTTTATCGCTATCGGTTTTTAATTACCCCACAATGCAATAGCTGTATTTTTTATTAAGACATCAGATATATTGTATGATTATGACTTTTATTGTATTTGCTCCACACCATATATACAAGATATTTGCTCCACACCATATATTCAAGATAAAATCCAGATATAACAAGATATTTTTAAACTATTATATACGTATAAGACACCATAAATAATAACATCTTTAGTCAATGTTATTTCAATGACGATTAAACGTAACAAAAGTTTTTTTCCTTCATTTTATTTTTCAATTAAAAGGATGATTAAATAAATATAGTTAGTTTATAATTTTCCATATTTCTTACTGTAAGTTTATCGATCCTGATAGAATCCTCCTAATTTAAAAAAAAGCCAGCCAATAAAAAGAAATATTTATTTCTCGGTATCAAATAACGTTTATTTATACAGTGAATATTAAATGTGAATTAAACCCACAGTTCAAAAATGGAATATTTTCTTTTCTTTTTTTCTTTCAGGTTGCTTTCTTGTGATCAGTATAGTTCTACCCTTGGAGGTAATTGGCCGAAGATGGCGAGACTTCTGTGTTTGTCTTTGGGTTTGGATGTTGGGACTTCCGGTCCTTTCCATTGAATCCATTATCGTGGGTGGATGGAGAAACACGGCTCTCACGTCGGGAATCGTCGGCCTTCCATTTTTAGGATTCTATTTGTAAGTACATCGCCTTCGCCCGAGTTTGATTTTTTATTTCATATATTCTGTTCTATTAGGTTGGGTCATCAGTAATTTCTGTTTTTGGGAACCAATTGTACTGACGAATATATCATCTTAATTTCTAATCCGACGTAGCATCGTCCTGGTTAATGAAAATAAACTACATCCCACTCAAAAAAAATTTATCAGGAGACTAGAGGTTTTGAAGTAAAGAACCATATCTTAAAATGTTGTTCCCAGGTCCACCCTGACCCGGGGTAGCAGCACCTGTTAGGGTCCCAGCTATGGGCAAATAGTGAACTCCCAAACAAAAATAAACAGTACATTTTTATAATAAAATTACCAACAATACATTTTATGATCTACAAAATATATATCTAAAAAGACATACATTTACTCTGAAAGTATAAAATTATGTACAAAATATCTGTAGTTTAAAGCATAAAATTTCGTACAAAATATTTAGATTTTGGCATTAAATAACTCATGAATGCTGATAATTCAAAATCATTCAACCAAACAACCAACATGGAAGAACTCTTTCCTGATATCAGTCCATATAATAATCTACAATTTTTAAAGGAATCAAGCTGTATTCCAAAATATAACTTCAACAAAACTACAACGCAAAACACACATATCACCGCCTCTAGTAATCATGTCCACACAAACATGTACATGCAAAAAAGCTGAGTATCATCTACCATGTATTCAATTGTGAAAGCAGAATGACATATTTTTATTACTTCAGAGCTCCTCCAAAAAATTAAATGAAGCTATTCTTTGTAGGCACAGATGCTTACCCATGGGCTTTGAATACTAATGGATGCCACATACTTAAAATAGAAGGACGCACTCACACACACATATATATATATATATATATATATATATATAGAGAGAGAGAGATATATATATTTTCCAAGCGTAGCTTAGATGTGGCACAAAGCCGAAAGTATGGGGCATCTAGTGAGGATCGAACTCACTTTTCAGTTTAATAACTGATCTAACGAGACAAGTTTGCTAACCATTACACACCACGTTGAGGTGCCCTACACGCACACACTCACACATGTGTCTCCAATATATATATAAGAACAATATTGGGAAAAAATGTATGACAAAATAGAAAAAGTTTTCTTGTAATGCGTTTTCGTCCTGTAGGACCACATCGGATTAAATTTATGTTGGTGAAGAAAAACATGCGCAGGAAAAGGGATGCTTTCAGTTATTTTTTTTTAATCTTCCTGACGATTTCATTTACATTGAAACCAATGAAACCTTTGATGGCAGATATTTCTATTATCAAAGTGTGGATATCTATTACCAAAATTATTGGATTTTATAAAATAAGATGAATGAAATTGGCTAGAAAAAGAATTTTTAATTCTTCAGCATTCCTTATTTTTTGACTTTGATGATGTTATATACATATACATATATCTTTTACACCAACATAACAAATTTAGTCTGATGAAGTCCTAAAGAACAAAACTTGTCAGAAGACATGTTTCATTAAGTTAAAGGGTTTTGAAGACAGCAGACTGAAGCACCAGGATCAGCTTTGTCAAGCTCTGAAGAAGAGACGCCATCAAAATCCTGCTTTAACAAATTTCATCTGTCAGTATGGCTTTGTCGCCCACAGCAAAGCTGGGCAAGTATCACACTTAAGAAAGCACAAATGAAATATGTATTTCCCTTACCTGATTTTCTCCCCAATAGCCTCTGCTAGCATGCATAAGTGTAAAACAAAAGGCACCATCCAATGCTGACCCTCATTTATCGTTCATGATAAGTCCACCATATATATGTATATGACAAAGTGTAAAAATTTTTTTTTTGTGACACGTTTCGTTCTTTAGGACATCATTGGACTAAATTTGTTATGTTGGTGCGGCTACACATGTGCACGAACGAGGGATGCTGGGAGTTTTAATTTTTTGTTGTTGTTTTTTTTAATCTAGCTGATTTCATTTAAAATTTTTTTCTTTCCATCGCTTTTGCTAGTAGATATTCTAGAACTTTTACAACATTTCACCATTAGCTCTGTGGGAGTTGAAGAAAACATAACTGTGTCTGAGCATACGTCTACAGCAGGGATTAGCTAACCAGCGGAGTAGTGGGGAAAACTTGGAAGTGAAAAGTCAACCATTATGTCTGTATTTTATTTTATTTTTACAGTCTTGTGCCGGAAAGTGCCCGTTGGTTGACGTGTACTCAAAAATTTGCCAAAGCAGAGAGTAGCATCAAAGAGATGATCTCCTGCAACACAAGAGCCGTTCCTGATGTCTTAGAATTGTGTGACGACACACGCCTCTATGTGATGAGTACTTCGCACCCAAGACGCCATACATACTTGGATTTGTTCCACACCTCCACTGTTGGTCGTTGGACGGTTGCTGTCTTATATACGTGGTACGTTTATACTTACCATTTATTTATATCATTTTAAGCGCTCTTTATCTCTCTGTCACTCTATCTTTGCTCTTTTCTCTCTTTCACTCACTTTTCTCTCTCTCTCTCTCTCTCTATATATATATATATATATATATATATATATATATATATATATATATTATAAAAGAAGATGTGTGTGTATAAAATATTATTTTTGGTTGAAATATGGATTTTAATTTTAAAATATACATTCTAGTCTATTTTCCATAATTCTGAGCATATATATATATATATATATATATATATATATATATAGATATGTGTGTGTGTGTGTGTGTGTGTGTGTGTGTGTGTGTGTGTGTGTGTGTGTGTGTGTGTGTGGTATTAAGTACCAGAATTGCTGGTTCTTTTTCCGGGTAGAAAGTCTTTTGGGCAGGCAGGGTTTTGTCATAAAGAGCTCAATATGAGCAGTAGAGAAGACAACAAGGCCGAAACTACGTAGTAGGTATGACTGAACCAACACCACTCAGCTAAAGGATGAACTTCTCCAAATTTATATATATATATATATGTCATGTTGTAATAATTTATTAAAAACAATTTTTGTTAATTTTTCTCAGGATACTGAGCCCTGCATTCAAGAAAATTAACGATAACTTGCATTTAATTTAAATTTCAATTAATCGATTGCTAATATATATATATATATATATATATATATATATATATATATATATATATATTTCTAAAGAGGTAAATGGATTTTATTTATTAATCCGAATGATTTTATCACTTTAAACTTTATTTTATGTGAATATTCATAGCTGAGTAGACGCTCCGTTTATTAATTAAACAGCATATTTATTTATTTTCATCAACTGTCCTGAATATTTAGGAATGTTATTAAAAAAAATATGAGGCAGGATTCGAACTTGCTTCCACCTGGTCATTGTGAACCGTCGTAAATCCGATTTGCTTTAACCGACTCGTCAACTGAAATATCAGTATCCACTAAGGATGACGTTTAAAGTGATTAAATTTATATATGCAAAGGAAAAAGTGTGTGAAAGCGAAGAAAATTAATCTTCAGACACAGCTCTACAAATTTCAATAATTTTATTATTGAGTACAAAAATAATATTTGTTTTCTTTTATGTTGAAAGAAATAAGTTACAAAGTTCCTCGCAAACAAATTTCGTGCAAAAAATGTTTTGCTTTTCTATTTAGAACACCAAATATATGAATTGTGATAAATGGAAGGTTTGTATGCATTCGTGATGCGAAAAACCACGATTTTACATTATGCATGTGTTAAGTGTGCTTCCAGCAGCAGGCAAGCTGACACCCGATACAATTACACTTTATGTCTCACTCGGTTTATGAAAATACTTTAAGAACAAGAAATAATTTGTAAGAAAGAACTTAGTACTCAATCAATATGTTAGTTTGAGTATGCGAAAATTTGAGAATACAGTATTATTTACAATTCCCCTGGTCGAAAATTATACTTATGACTGAGTTTTTAATTTACGTTACCCTATCCGATCACAGGAAGCTAAAAGTTAGATTTACTAAACTCGGAAGTTTTATTGGTCAATAAAAATATTTCCCAATTTGTAATACATATTCTTAGGAGGGAAAAGAGTATTAATCATTTTCTGGTGTGATCCTCCAAATCTTTTGGCAAACGATAAGAATGGATTCTCTCTTTTGAAAGTTTGAATGGCGTTTGAGATAACATCGTTGATTGGTTAATAAATGCTAATCTGAAAATTTGAATGTGAATCTGTTTGTATTCCAATTTTCCCACAAAATTGAGATTTTAGTGCAATTTTTCAATCTGATTGAATTTTTCTAGAAAACTTTTAACGGGATTCCACAACATTACACAATTAATACATATATACATACATATATATATATATATATATATATATATATATATATAAACGGACACGATGGGAACGAAAACACACATATACAAACATATATATATATATATATATATATATATATATATATATATACAGTAGCGGCTATAATATAAGGAACGGAAACAACAAAGACATAAATATGTATTACTTAAAAAGTAATGCATACTTAGCAATGAAATTTTTACCGAATAAAGATTAGGGTGTAATGCATAAATACTATACAAAGCTACAAAAATTTACGTATTGTTTTTTTTTGTAAATAAAGATCAAATGGAACAAAGGAAATAAGCTACTGGACAAAAGTTAAGGAACGATCTTGTTAATACTTGATTGTGAACAAAATAACAACAAAATTTAATATTTGGTAAACATCCCCTTATTTTCAATGACTTCTCTGCATCGTCGACCACATGATCGAATTAATTTCTTGCAAAAATCAGCAGTAATTCCCTCCCATTCGTCTTTCAATAACTCTCATGGGGGATCCTGGTTTTTCGGGTTTCTTTTGAGCCCTTTCTCCAATTATATTCCAAACATTTTCTATTGGATTCAGATCGGGACTCTGGGCTGGCCACTTCATTAGGGCGATTCCTTCTTCTTCAAATAAAGCCATAACCTTCTGAGCCTTGTGGCAAGGTGCATTGTCCTGCATGAAAATAGGAGATTCATAAAGATTATGGTGTAATCTTGGTACCACATGCTGCTGAAGAAGCCTTTTATAAATCTCAGCATTGATATTGCCATGTCCGCGGATGATAGGGCCAACTCCTGCAGATAAAATCATTCCCCACACCATCACACTGCCGCCACCAAACTTAATGGTTTTCTTAACACATTGAAAAGACAGTCTTTCACCTGTTCTACGGCGTACGTAAGTTTTGCCCTCAGAACCAAATATAGTAAACTTGGACTCGTCACTGAAATGAACTGTATCCCATTGTGCGTCAGTCCAAACAACATGTTCTCTCGCATACTCCAGGCGTGTCCTTTGGTTTCGCTTTGAAATGAGAGGCTTCGAAACTGGAATACGGGCATGCAATACTGCATTTTTTTAACCTGCGAGCAACCGTTTTCCTTGAGATCTTATTATCTGTCTCTTCATTAAATTTACGGGCAATTTTTTTTTGTAGATATTCTAACAATTCTTCGATCTTCTCTTTGAGATGTTTTTGGAGGTCTGCCGGTTATTGGTTTTGCATCTAACGTTTTATCGGTTTTATATCTGCTAATTACACAATGAACGACACTTTTAGACCTATGAACAATATCAGAAATTTCTGAAATTGACTTTTTTCTTGATAGCAATAATGAGTTGTTTTTTTCTTCAAAAGAGAGCTTTTTGCGTGTAGAATTTGCCATATTGCTTAAAAATAAAGTCCCAATGATAAATTAACTTTTACCTATTGTTGAAAAACTCCATCGAGTTTTTTAACAATGTAAATTAAAAGTTTATGCAAATTATTAACATCGTTCCTTAACTTTTGTCCAGTAGCTTATTTCCTTTGTTCCATTTAATCTTTTTTAAAAAAAAAAACTATTATGTAAATTTTTGTAACTTTGTATAATATTTATGCATTACACCCTAATTTTTATTCGGTAAAAATTTCATTGCTAATCATGCATTACTTTTTAAGTAATACACATATTTATGTCTTTGTTGTTTCCGTTCCTTATATTATGGCCGCTACTGTATATATATATATATATATTTATATATATATATGCATGCATGTATGCATGTACGTATGCGTGCGTTTGTGCGTGTGTATATGTGTGTTCTTATTTTAAGCATGTATTTTTTATATATCAACCTATATATGCAAAGAAAAGATACATAAGAATATTAAAAATTTAATGATAAAATGGAAAATATTTTTCGTGCGACGCGTTTCTTTTCTTTACGACTTAATCGGACTAAAGTGATGTTTACGCTGATCTAACTGCACATGCGCACGAAGGAGAGAAGACACTGAAATCTTGATTTTTAAATTCAACTTCATTTTTTAATATGCGTTGGGTATTGTTATACTGGAACACACCTATTCTATAGTTAATAGACTCTCCCACCTATAATAAGTAGTAGTAGTAGAAGTCGCGAAGCAGCTCAGAGAGTTGGTGAGTCAGTGGATGTCGGACATTAAAGTATCAACCACCACAACTAGATTGCTGCTTTATTAACTATTATAACAAGTTCCTAACGTTTTGTACGTCGAACCTTTTTAGGACCGACTTAGTGAAATACAAGCCTTCACTTAGTGTCTATAGGATCCAGTCTGCCTTGCTATTTAACGCATAGTTGTGGGGAGAAGAGGTAGACTCATAGCTTTCCCATTATTTATTTGTGCAACGAATTCGATTGGAATTTTCTCATTCTGAGGCGTTATCCATCACACCACACACACACACAAGGCTACCGCACCTAGTGTTCCAAAATGGTCACCCGTCTACGTACAACTTTGCTTAATGTTGATTTGTGATCGGAGGAGAACTCAACGTGATATGGCCTTGAACCATATTTAGTTTAATTTAATTATTATCTTTATTTTATTTGTATAATTTCTTCTTTCTGAAATATTCGTATTAGAAATAATGTCTAATATATTTAGATTATGGAAGGAAATTTAGTCTTTTCAATTGTGAAATGGTTGTAGAAAACATCTGATGGCGTATATATAAATTCCACGCAAGGTGTTTGAAGGGTGCACCACTCTTTAAAATACCTCCTCCTCCGGTGAAGGGACAGTTCATGCGTGTTGTTTTTAGTATTTTCAGCCTTTCTTTGCAGTGAGTCCATTGTAGTATTTTAGTATTATCCACTAATATTTGTCTAATGTCAATAGTTGTATTTGGTTGTTTGTATTGTGACGAGCGATATATGCACTTATCACACTAAGAGACAAAGAAACTTTATATGTTTAATTTATATTTTTATGGGATATATATATATATATATATATATATATATATATATATATATATATATCCAGGTAAGGTGAGAACGAATAGAGTACAATTCCAACGTTCGTAACATTTAATTTAGAAGAGGTCTAAATACGAAATAGAACAATATTATTTATTTTACGATATTAAATTGAAAACATGTCAAAATCGCTGCACAACACGAAACAAGAACTGCAACTGTGTAGCGATTTTGACATGTTTTCGATGTAATATCCTAAAATAATATATACATTAGAAAAAAAGTTTATATATATATATATATATATATATATATATATATAGTCGTTTATATATTGCTTTATATTACAAAGTATGTATTTATTTCTACATTTACTTAGTAGATAATTTTTGGTTTTGTAATTCATTTTGTTTTTTTTAATCAGTTAATTTGTAATTTTTCTTTTAAGCATCCTCTGTAGTTTTTACTCTTAGTCTGAACCAATTTTACCTTAATCTGAAAACTCTTAGAATTATCAGGTTCAAGCAGGGAATATTATTGTACTCAAATTCTGATTATTTTTGGACAGAATCATAGATGTTCCAATATCTTCCGCTGAGATGTTCGTCTGCATCTTCATAAGCAACCTTAGGCTAAAATAAACTATTTTTACATGCCATCTAAGGAAATGTACGGATTAACCTAAATTAAAAGACTACAAATTTTACATTGGATCGACCTTTACAAGAGGCATACGGTTTTCATCTAATGCATTTATTTTCATTGCATGAAGATCTTCATACACTCTTTTTTATCTTTTTCAGGTCCGTCGGTTGTTTTGTCTACTGCAACCTTTTAAATCAAGTCGATAGTTTGACTGGTAATCAACACCTTGATATGATTCTTCCATTTCTTTTAGACTTGCCAATCTGTTTGTCGGCAGTCATCATCAACAAATGGTAAATAAATATTTCTATTATTCTTCCTCTTTGATACGAAACAACGATAAGCTGTCATTTAACGAAAAGCACAACAAAAATATGGTGTCGTGATTTGATTGGTTTGCGGTCCTAAGCTATTCCTGTAAAATTCTTACCGTTGCATTTTGGGTAAGAAAAAAAATGAATGTTGAAGTGATTGTTTCAGCTTTCAATATGTAGCTGGTTGTATTTTATAGATGCTCATCAGTTGACAACGTGATGCGTGGCTTAATGTTTTATGCATTAGGTTGTTCAGAAACTAACGTTGCTTTCTTGGAAACGGAATTAAAAAAAAATGCTTTTTAATTTTAACGAAACTGTTCTCATTTAATCTTATAAATGAAGCTTTTTTTACCTTCCTTTCAGGAGAGTAACCCATTGCGTTTTCTCTATCTAACGTTTTCCACCGACATGAACTGGTGCGATTATATTGAATCAATTACAAATTCTGCTGCTAGTAAAGTCGGTTTACTGTGCAGCACGAGCCAATTTTTCTCGCCAGATTTTATCTTGCATCTTTATAAGACTACCATTCATCTGTACATCGAATATTGCACCCGATTTTGGTGTGATGCTTCTGCTATGTATCTAGAGATTCTTGACAGGATCCAAAAGAGAATCCTCACTGTTATAGGTCCTGACCTGGCATCTCGACTTCAGTCACATTCTCATCAGCATAACATAGCTCCTCTCTGGCTTTTCTAGAAATATTTTTATGGTTGTTGTTCTGATGAGCTTTCCTCTTTAGTATCTCGAATTTAAGCGCAGTACTAGATTGGCATCTAGGTCTCATCATTTTACTTTTGAAATTGCTACGTTTAAGTGGTTAAATGGTTTCTTCTCTCGTATTTCTCTCTTGTGGGACTTTCTTCCGGTTTCTTGCTTCCCTTGCTTTTTTTCTTCAAAAACAATTTAAGCAGCGCCAATCGTCATATTCTGTCTCCTCTAATCATCGTCTTTTAATGTTCCTGGCGTTTACTTGATTTCTTTCATTCTCGGCAACCCTTTGCGTCGTGATAGCTTTATCCAAAATTAACATTAAATTATCAAGAAACCTAATTGCTGTAGGGAACGATCTGGTAACCCTCAGTACACAATTTTTGATACACCTCTATTAAATGGACTGTTCCAGTAGGAATATAATCCTCTATGGTGTTGGTCTCAGCTTAGGTTTGAGCAAGCACCAAGACGTCGAACTCTCTGTTTTCGGGCAGAGAGGAAGCCAGACCAGGCTATGCCAAAGGATAGTCTCGTCTGGGGAGGGTGAGAAACCCGACCCTATGTGTGCGGGGTCTACGTGGAATTTTGCGATCGCTCCAGATAAAAATCGGCCTTGTGCCACATCCTGCCTCGTGGGGAGGTCGGCTAAATACCGGCTTGTTTTCCAGCTGCAGACTAACTTTAAATATCTACTTGCATTGTTCTTGTTTTAAAATAAACCCTTATATTTTGTAAGTTGCCGTCCTAGTTATTAGTTCAATAACAACCCCGGACAACATTACAAAACTGGCGACGAGGGTGAGACTGCACGAAAAGAAATTACCGATGGATGTACTTTATGATATTTTCGACATTCCAGCGACATCAACTACTGAAATTGTAGTCCAAAGACGGACCAATAAAAGAAAAGGAAAGCGTGTGGGGAGTCCAGATCCAAAAAGAAAAAGATATTAATTTTCCGGAGAAAATAATCTCGAGAGGAAGGTGTTGTAGGGAACGAACTGATAGCCTTCAGTATACAAAGAACTGATACATCTCTATTAAATGGACTGTTCCGGTAGGAATATAAGCATCTAGGGTGTTGGTCTCAGAGGGGGGATTTCCAGCTTCAGACGAACTTTTAAATATCTACTTATATTGTTCTTGTTTTAAAATAAACTCCTATATTTTGCAAGTTGCCGTTCTAGTTATTATTTTAATAACTACCCTGGACAACATTACAAAACTAATAATTATTAGCATTGAGAAAAAAAAACGTACTCTCAAACAGAGCAAGATTGTGGATACATTGTAGAAAGTAAATGTTTTTATTGTTTTTGAGTACATTCGACCGTCTCGGTCGTTATCAGGAACAATCGTAGACAGGTTGTTGTTCTATAAGTCACGTCATTTTTTTTTCAACATTAAATTTGAACAAAGGAAGTTATTGAAAAAAAAAGTTTGAACAAAGTAACTATAATCAAAATGTTATTTTTCTTTTTGTTTTGTTTTTTTGTTTTTTTTTTTTTTTTGTTTGTTTGTTTTTTCTTTTTTCTTTTTTGCTATCCGCAATGATGGAGAATGCATTACCTCGCACCATTACCAGTGAGACACGCTGCAAGAGTCACTCCGTTTCGCGAAGCACGTCTCTTAATCGAGACGCCATACCGCGAACTTTCCGAAGGAACGCCATCGAATGAGGGCCAATAACCTCTCCACTGCCACAAGAGTAAAAAAAAATCTATCAGCAAGAGAATAATATTTAACTAATAACTCTCAAATTAATTTCTGTATTCCTTGCTGAAAGAAACTAGGATTTTTAGGTGAAAACTCTATCAACATCTAAAGCAGAGCTACATACTTCTAGGTCTTGGTGAACAGTCGATTGAATATACTGAGTTTCGCCTTGGAGCGTTTATAATAAAGTGGGATGAATATGTGTCAGCTCGAATTTCTGCGATTAGGAGTTATTTGTTATATTATTTGCAGTTGAACAATAGCCGAGATGATTAAATCGTTAGTTCTTTGGTGGCATAATAATTGAGTTCAATACCTGGGTCTAGCAGTACAAACTCGGTGGAAAGAAGTGTAGCAATAACTGATCAGTACGAAAAAGGAACAGCGCGATACATTTCTAGACATGAACACCAGAACGAGAACGATCGACCATCGTAGATTGAATTAACGTGTTCAATTCGAAATTCGAAAGGCCGGAAGGAGCAGCGACCGAAAAGTTGAGATAATAGCTGCACTGATGAAGGCATTAGTCCGACTCGAAATAATGTGAATAATTAAGGGTCATTTTTATGCTCAATAAATTGAACGAGCTGAAAAGAAATACAGCAAAAATTTCCAGCTTGTGTCAACAAGAAATGAGCCAAAGAGTGTAATAAACTCGATTTTTAGAGGAATAAACCTGGGGGTAAAAATCGAGAATCATGGGGAATTTAAGTGGGACACACATACAGGGACAAACAGGGGTGGAAAATTAGTCTCTCTTTGCAACGAATATCACAAAGGTATCAAAATCGCCGACCCTTCCCTTTTGTATGCGAAAAGTGCGAAACTAAAATAAGAAAACGCATTAGGATAGCCAAAGATGCATTTCAAAAGCTAAGCAGAGTATTCTTCTTCTTTTATGTATTGTAGGCGATCATGGCTCTCCACTTTCCCCTATCCCTTGTAGCTCTCAATATGTTTTATCCTTTAGCTACTTCTCCCAAAACCTGTTCCGTCATCCACTTGCATAAGCCACTTGCGTTGCTTTCCCTTGTCTCTCTTTCCCTCTATCCGCCATGTGAGTATCAAATTCTCCAAGCCCTTTTTCTCATTACGTGTCCCAGAAATTTCAGCTGCCTATTCCTGATGTTAAGTATAAGCTCTCTCTTTGTTTTCATCCTCTCCAAAACCTCATCGTTGCTCACATGTTTGGTCCATGATATCCTTAGCATCCTTCTGTAGAACCAGAAAAAATCGTTAGAAGAGTACGGAACTGTTACGTGATACCTGTTCTCGTATATGGCAGTGAATAATGCACGATCAAAGAAGAAGAAGAAGAGACTTGAAGCAACAGAAGGATGATGAGGATACCATGGACCGAACATATAAGCAAAGACGAGGTTTTAGAGAAAATGGAAACAAAAAGGAAACTTATACTTAACATCAGAAAGAGACAGTTGAAATCTCTGAGGCACGTAATGAAGAAGAAGAGCTTGGAAAATCTGATACTCACAAGACAGATTGCGGGCAAAAGGGACAGATAAAAAAATTGGCATAACATACTTGATGAGCTTAAGTTAATGGACGGCGGAACAGAATTTAGAAGAAATAGCGGAAAGATAAAATTTATTAAAAGCTACAAAGGACAGGAAATTGTGGAGAACCATGATCGCCTACGTCCTGAGGGGACTTGGCGCATGAAGGAGGAGCAGATGCTCCAGGTTCGGAATCCAGAACCGGGCTCATTTTTTTTTTTTTTTTTTTGAGCTGGCTGCGTCCTGCCCAAAGAAAAAGAATGAACTGACCTCAGAAGATCAAATCGTTAAGTTCGGAGATTTGTATTGCGTCCACTTAACCGCTTGAGGACTTCAATATCTCGATTTAATCAAATCAAAGTATTTAAAATGTTTCTTAATTCATGTTCTTTTATTGTTCTCGTTTTTTAAGGTTAGTGTTAATGGCTTTATTGCCTTGACTGGGATGAAATTCTTTAAAACAAACTGTAAAGAAGAGATCAATTCAGCAGTAACAAAATTCGTTCAGAAACCAACATTCGTTTATATAAAAAAGGAAAAGAAAGGCATTGGTTTTACAAGGGACTATTTTAGATAGCTGTAATTAATTTTTTTCATTAATTTTCTTTTTTCCTGAAAGTCCTTTCAGATTTTTCACTAAGACTTATAAAATATATTGACACTTATACCTCTCTCTCTCTCTTTCTCTCTCTCTAAGGAATCTGTCTCTCTCTGTCTCTGTCTCTGTCTGTCTCTGTCTCTGTCTGTCTCTCTCTCTCTCTCTGTGTCTCAATGTATATATATATATATATATATATATATATATATATATATATATTAGTTGTAGTGATGTTAGTTTGTGATCCTGGGTTCACGCCCTTGCGATCGTCAGACAAACTATGTTAGCTCTATCACTGATATTGAGCGCTTTCCGATAAGTACCGCACATATATAATATATAAATAATATATATAGAAATTACATATATATATATATATATATATATATATATATAATTTATATATATATAACAATAACAAATTTAAAAAAATTAAAATCTTCAGACACACTGTGTTGTAGATTAATATTCTTTCGTTTTTATTATTATTATTATTTCATTTAGATTCCTCGACTAGTTTCGGCCAACATGGCCATCATCAGGAGAAGAAAAATATAAAGTATTCCATTGTGACGGATTATATATAAGGGTGTTTCATTAAGATGGATCAAAGTCAGCAGTAAATAAATCAGTGTTATTGATGAAAATTTATTTATTTTCTAATGGATCATGTTATTTAAGTTATGGCAATTATACAGGAAAATAATATGGCTCAAATGTCCCCAAATCTCAAAGAAAAAAAAAAAATTATTAGACGCTTAAACTTAATTCACATTTAAAATCGGTCTAAGTTATTGGAACACCCTTTACACACACACACACACACACACACAGATATATATATATATATATATATATATATATATATATATATATATATATATATATATATCGTCTGTGTTCGTATATGTGATTCACGCTAGGAAATGCCAAATGATCGGAATCAAATATAATGTAAATCAGAATCCGTTGTTCTATGCAGAGTTGATCTGTGCTGACCTTAATATATACTGGGCTCACCCTAAGAGACACTAATGTAATCTTTTGCAGTCAGTGTTAAAACATCAAAAGAGCTGGACGCATCAAAGATCTTTATAGCCCGCAACAGAGATCTCTTAAGGAGATCTCATATTCTCCAATTGCAGAACAGTGCCACAAATGATTTCAAAAGATGCACCGACATATAAACAGAAAGCCAACCTAGCATACCTACACATATGCGCATGACAGGAAGCTATATAAACGTCCGATTCGTAAGCGTAAACGTAAAGTCGCTCACATTCTCGCGAGACGATTCGAACGTTCAATATGACTTTAATCTGATTACAGAAGGAATAAACAATATTTTTTATGTATAAAAGATTTAGTCTCGTACTTTTTATCAAATTTCAACCGAAAAAGTCTTTCAGAGAAATAATAGTTGGTTGATCATGTTTAGCGATATATCAACCTCTATAGGTTATTTTATGTCGAAATCTAAATATTTTGGACGCAGTTGTTGGACATTTTACTCTAAATACGTTCTGTTGGTAATTTTACTATAAATATGTATTTCATATAAAATTGCGTTTTTTTTTTGTTTTGGGGTTGCTATTTGTCCATAGCTGTGACCCTAACAGGCGCTATCACTCCAGATCAGGGTGGACCTGCGAACAAAAGCACTTAAGAGGTGGTTCTACGCTCCTCAAAACCTCCAATCTCCCGATCAGAAGCCTTTGCTGCCGGATGTAGTTTATCGTCATACTCAGGACACGAATTAATGAAAAAGCAAATAGAAGCTACAAAGATTTTATTAATTTCATTCGAGGGTATACTGACAATGAATGCGAAAGGTTTCCTTTTATCAGGAAACGGTTGTTAAGATTACCATTATCATGATTATTTTCTCTTTTGTTTTTTAGTTTTTTAGGGTTTTTTTTTTTTTTGTAATGTGTGCACATTTCTTTGGAGACCTATTAGATCTATGCTTAATTAATAAAATTAACTTACCCTTAAAAAAATTAATTATGAATACTGCACAAATGTTTTAAAATGTTTACAGTAGGTAGTTTAATATATCGAGGTTTTCACTAATAGTTTTAAATAGTTTCTTTTTTTTTTTTTTAGTATTTAGACATTTCAAAAAAACTTAGTTACCTTACTTAGTTTGAACATGTGTCTACATGATAAAATTTTAAAATTCTATAATACATAACCTTGGAATTTTTTCACTTCACACGTAAAAATTTAATTTTCAGATGAACACAACAATTTTTCTTAGACAACATTGTGCTAATGTCGAAAGTACTCGGAATAAAATGAATATACATCAATATGGTCATTTTCTTTCTTCCTTTAATAAGGATACTAAGAAACTTGTCCGTAATTACAAGAGGATCCTATTAGAAATAAGTAGACAAAACTAAATTATTTAATGAGATATGTCTTAATGAAAACATGCTGCCAAAATTTTAGTTGTGTCTTCTTATTTTTAATAGAATGAAAATATACAAATATATATATATATGTGTGTGTGTGTGTGTGTGTGTGTGTGTGTGTGTGTGTGTGTGTGTGTAATAACAGTCTCGATAAAATGAAATATTTGTATAATTTACGATTGTTCGTTTTGGATTCTAAAAGCTCTATTTATTCGGCATCCAAACATTAATCGATCTCTTGGAAACCCATACCGATACCGACCACTTCGATGAACCCTGATATAGATTATAGCATCGAAATACATTCCTTTTATTTTTCTTTGTTTTTTTTTCTATTTTCAATTTTGACAATATCAGGACGGTTATTCTTCCTGCTGCTAATGTTGTGTCATGTTTTGTTGTTTTTTGTCTTTTGCAGTATAGGCAGGAGATGGTGCATGTTTCTATATGCAGTCTCTTCCGGTTTCAGCATGTTTTGCGTCCTCATTCTGCACATGATGGGTGACCTGCACAGGTACCCGTACATGATTACCGCCCTGGCTGCCTTCAGTAAGATGGGAATAGGTGCCGCTCTTGCCCTGCTCACCCTTATCACTGCAGAGTCCTTCCCCACAGTCGTCAGGTAAGCATCATTTTTGTACGCTATTGTTCACGCAACACAAGGCCCAATAGCCACTCAAGGGTTACTAAATTGAGTTGTTTTATGGACGTAATAATTGTAATTTATTGGATATGTAGGATAGATAAGAGTTGGACATGAAGAGGTTAAGTTTATAGTAGTCGGGAAAGCATCCTCGGGAGCCTTGCTATTAGCATTTTCGTTTGGGAAGAAGCTGTCCGGAGATAACTTTCTCTCTACAAAAGAAATGATGATGTTTCAATCCTGTGTATATAGCATGGCAGGTGTTAGCTATAAAGATTTTTTTAACTAGTGGACCGAAGGAATGTATTTCATCCTAATATTTTCCATGGAAATAGCGGTAGATTAGCGATAGGCTTACAATATTGCGTAGTAATAAATTCATCACTCACATATTTACATAAACGCTTTCGAACTCTCTCAAGCTTGGAAAAGAGATGAATGTGCAGCTCAGTCTAGATATGGCAGCAATACTTTCCTTTTGGTCTGATTTTCTTTATAAATTTAGGTACTTACTGGAGCGACACAAAGAACTGACTATTTTTACAGCGTTTTTAGTGATAGATCGTATATATGAGATCCCTTGATGTCCGGATTGGCAACTAGCTCTCATAGTTTTTACTGTTGAACTAGCTAGATTCAACCTCCACTTCCACTCTAATACTACCTTTTTCGCACTTCCCACCCGTGGAACTCCCTTCCGAACTTTTTCTTCCCTGATAACTACAATCTTCAAAAAATTTAAATGCAACTTTTAGTCACCATTTTCTGTCTTCTTAAACCATGTTCCTTTTTGTCCTTTCCTCAATCCTCCTCATTTTCAATCTTCTCACTGTCATTCACTTTCACTCCCTGTGTCTATCCCCCCGCGTTCTAGTGGCATTATCGTCTTGCTTGGGGGAGCACAGGGAGGAAAAGACTCTCAAACAATGCAACCATTCATCGTGACTGCTGAGAACCTTTAAATACAATCCACCCGAGTTCTTTAATGCACGCAAACTCTTCATGGGAGACTAGGCATGAGGGTTTTATCTACTTTATCCGACGGCAATAATGATTTGATTTGCTTTCATTCATTCATTTTCTACGGCTTATCAACTATTTGCAGGTTATTTAAAGCCAGAAAATAATTTCAGACTGTAAGAATTTTTTTTTTTAATAATAATGATTTAGTGATACAAGCCTTACTAATTAACCCATAGCCGAAGGGAGGAGGGGTAGATACATACCTTTACCAAGAGTATTATCCATTATACATGACACCACTCAAGCTTACAGCACCTGGTATTCCCAAGAGGTCATCCATCTAGGTACTGAGCAGGTTCGACCTTGCTTAAGTTCGATGATCAGGGGGAACCGGTGTCTCAACATAATATGACCGTAAGCTATGGTAATGGAGTATCATTCTCCTTGTCTAGAGACATGGATATAAGAATAGGCCATGTTTATAAGCAGCTTCTGGCGCACTTCGGCCTGGTGTAATAGTTGGTACGCTTGTCTCGTTTGATCAGTTACGTAGTGAGTTCGATCCTGGATATGGGCGGTCTATACTTTTTGCCTTTGATGCCACATCTACGGTGTGCTTAGTAAATCACTATAAGCAACTTCAGATGTTGACCAGTACTAGGATTTCTTAAAAGTGAAGATGCGTAAAGGTTGCTTACATATTATTATTTTATTTACAGAGAAACCTCGGTTCTCGAACATCTCACGTGGCGAACAAATCGGTTTTTCGAACAGAAAATCGACATGAAAATGAACAAGATCAAACAAAATTTCGGTTCTCGAACAACATAGCCGAACCGAATTAACACGAATCGGATAATTTCTGGAGTCGACCGCCGTGTTGTATACATTCATGTCTTATGCCGTTTTTTTTTCTTTTCAAATTTTATTGTACTGTCACTTTTTTTCTCTACATTTATTCCTACTGGATAAATAGTTTCGGTTTACGAACATTTCAGGTTACGAACAACTTCAGGAACGAATTAAGTTCATGAACCGTGGTTCGGCTGTATTTATTTATTTTTTTTGTTGCTTGGGTCTAATGAATATAAAAGAAAGACACTTCAATGGAATTAGACTGTCCCAGGGCCGCTAACATGGTAATTACTCGACATTTAATAATTTCATCCCAAACAAGCCACTAAGACGCAAGGGGTTACTGAATGTGAAAGTTTATGAGAAAAAGAAAATATTAATGAGAGTGAACAATAAAAGAACAGGAATTAAGAAGATAACGATTGACATTGCATTTAAATTTTTTAAGGTCAAAGTTGACTGGAAAGCAAGAATCTGGAAAAGAGTTCCATAAGTGAGAAGTGCGAGAGAAGAAACTGTTAGCATAGAACTTACGGTTATATCTAGACATCAAATATAAAGTAATGAGACCTTGCCGCCAATTTAATACTGCGTTTAAATTCATAAAGATTATTTACTGTTATCTTTCGTCTTTTTCTTCTTTTCTTTTTTTTTCTCTTTCTTCTTTCCTCTTTCCTGTTTTCGCTTTTCAGACTTAGTGAATATTTTAGATCATCACCGATCATATTTACCTTTGTGCCGCTTGTTTGTTTCTTCCATTCAAAGAGATTATATAACTTTTCAGCACTACCGGACCCGGGGATTGAACTTAAAGGGGAAACCCGTTAAGTTTAAAGTAACGCGTTTATCTACTAGGGCATGCGTTTCATGGACAATCCCTTGTTGAAATTCTGGATCCTGCTTCAAAGACTGTACTCAGAAGGATTTGGTTCGAAAATTACCATACGGTTACGAAGACACGTATCGCAGGAACGCCGTGAAGCAATAAGAGCACAAGCCAGGAGACACGTGACTCAGAGGCGAAACAATGAGACAGAAAGAAGAGGAGGATAATAGGAGAGTAGACCTGCGCGCGCGAGAGAGAGAGAGAGAGAGGGGGCAGCGCAAAGAAGACAAGATGAAAACAGAGGAAGAATCTAATGCAAGAAGAGAAAATATGAGAAAGCGAATGGAAAAAGGTCTTCGATAAAAAATCAGAAGAGAAATGTGAATACTGGCGCCATGAGAAATGCACAAAGCACAGTTCATAGAACAAATACAGTTCTATTCATTGAAGTCAATTATCAAAAATTGCAGCGGATGGTGGGCACTTCGACGTT